ACTGTTTTTTGTGACAAACATGTATGTGTTCCGATCACTCTATCACAGAAAAATAGGAGTTGTAGAACTTATTGAAAACTCAAGACAGCCATAACATTATGTTTTTTACAAGTGTATGTAAACTTTTGACCACAACTGTAGTACATATGCACATCTATACATAAACAAGTTGAAATTCTTGAACTATTCACCCAACTTTTTTTAACTTGCCTTTCTTTTTCTTCTATTCTCCAGCAGTATATTGACCTCACAGATCCAAGATGGGCTTTTCCAGAGCTTAAGCTGCGCAAGAAGCTAGATTTGCCCAACCCTCCAGTAATAGACCTGACGGAGTCTGTGGTAGAAGAGACAGAACTACAGACTGAGGAAAAGTCACAGAGTGGCCATCATCTGGAAAAAGGCCGTATAAATTCAGTCTCCAATGATCAGGATGTTATTTTACTGGAAAGATCACCAAAAGACTCTAAATCCCCACAGAGGGACCGTGGCACCAAAAGGCCAGCACAGAGACGTTCAAGTTCTCCAACACAACCCAAGGAGGAAAACCTTACAGCTAAACTATGTCACAAAAAAACAGCTGTAAAGCTGACACTGTTGCCATTTCACAAAACTCTTGTCTCACAACAGAACACATCAAGGTATTCTGACCAGTTTGCTAATGACTTTTCACAGATGTCACTATGCTTTAGACAACTAAATGGAAACGATGAAGAACCAGAAGTGATTGGTACTTTGAAAACTAATTTATTACAAATGGAACCCTTACCCTCTGAGTGTCTTCCTGAAGTAATGAAATCTCCAACGGGACATCAAATAAACAGTAGTCTGTCGAATGAACAATTGCAAAACAAAGAATCAGAGCACCTGCAACATCCTGCTGACTGTTTTACCAAAGAGAGAGTTCAGTCCGATTCAAACCTAAATAACCATGACACTTTGGAAAATAAACTCGATAGTTCCCACTCTTACAATCATATTCCATCCCCGACTTTTATTTCTTCACTTCAAACCAAACCTCCCAAAGAACCTCTTGTCTTCAACTTGGAGCATATGGAATTAGACCAATCTGAATCTGACCAAAGATGCCCCTCTAATCATTCTTCCTCCCATTCTCTTACTCCCGGAGTGAAATCTTGTAAGGGGTTCAACTCGAACTTGGTCTCTCACGCAAGTCTCTCATCTATGAGCAATGGCAACCAGTCACCTATCTCTGAGCAAATGTTAGGTGAAAAGACACCAGAGTGGCAGATGGAGACTGGAACGTACAGCGATGCTCTAGGAAGTGAGAGTCCGGCATCACTGTCTTGGCAAGAGGAAAGCGATGGTGAAGACGTGAGCAAAGAGAGCAGGTTCAGAGCAGTCAGTCGAGAGGACAGACAATACGTGTGTCCAGTCACGCTCAGGAAAGCCATGACTGCACCAGCTCGAGATCTGGTGAGAGAACTTATTTCTTTTGTACCCATTAACTCTTTACATTTGACTGGAAAACAAATGTCTTCTTTTTACCTAGTATATGTGTTGTTTCTCTAAGATCAATGAAGATTATGAAATCTCCAGAGCTCCAGAAGTTCTGTGCCGTCAGAGCCTGAGCTTGGTTTACAGCACGATCGACGAGAACTACCCAGAAGGCACTTTACAGCTACTGTCGGACCTGCTGCAGCCTGGTTACTATCCCCCTAAAGATATAACCTCCCACCTACTTCGTGGCATTCTGCTCGACCCGCAAAGTCCCTATCACTTCAGCGTACAGGCTTTTAATTTACTGATGTGGACACAAAGGTTAGCTACAACTCAATGTTCGTGCTTTGTATTGTGTATTCAATCTCATCCCAACCTCTTAAGGTTTGAATTAACTTTTTTTTTTGCAGACACCACAGGGTTAATAAATCAACGGTTCCATGGGATTGGGAATTACTTACTTCAGTCATGTCCAATCAGGTAATTCCCACCAACCAGCAAAAATGAAACTAACCTTAAAATACTGTTTATCTGATATTACCAACACAAAACAGACATAATGAATCAATAAATGAGGTTTTTTTCATGTTCTCCTGTTTTTGTTGTTGACCTCTTTCATTTTTAGGACAGCGCAAAGGAGCATCGATGTGAAGTTGTGCGCATGCTTTTGGAATATGTMGTGCAGACTTTAGAAGATGACTACCAGGCAAAATGTTCCACATCTGTTCACCACTCAATGACAAAAGCAACACTGTCATGTGATCAACAGTTTCCTCACGTCAGGTAAGTTTGGTAACCAAAGTGTTGCCTTATAAAGATGTAGCTGAGAACCGATAACGACTGATATGAAGCTGGTTTTAGTCATGAAGTCATTTTGTTGGGATGTTTGTGAAGTGAAATGATTTTGTAAATCACTGGGTTTCATTTTTTGTTTTAGTTCTTTATAAAGGAGACCAATTATGGGTCCTAGAAATGTTTATGGTATGTCTGTGGGCTATCCAGACCATGTTCATTCAATTTAATGCACAAAATAATTCTCAGATAATAAAATTTCCCATTTTCTAGTTCTGCCTGCTCTGACTTCAGTTCAGAAGAGCCGTTTATGTTAATGAGCTCTGTTGGTAACACCCTCCAAAAATCTGTTGACATTATCTCCGCCCTCCAAAGCCAGCGTTTACCTTAGCATGGCTAGTAATAGCAGAAGCTCCGTTGTACAACCATAGGAGACCCAGAGGCAGAGTTGTGGTCACAGCTTCTTTTTTTTTTCTCCCCCTCCTCTGCTCTGCGCTCACTCTGCATGCTGTTACCAGAGCAGGGAGCAGCAGCAGCGGTCAAAATACCTCAGAAACTCGAACAAATAGGCTTTAACAAGGCTTTAATAAGCTGAACAATAGATGTACATGAGAAAATGTGTTCATAATGAATGGAAAAAAATAAATAATTAGTGTCCATGCCGGTCTCAAACCCTGGTTTCCCACTCTCTGGTCCAACACTCTACCCATTGCCCTATGGGAGATTTGTTGTGAATTGAGCTGTGCATTGCACATCAATACAGTGACGGCTTTTTATACCGAGGAGGTGGAGTCTCACCTGGGGGTTGCTACGTAAGGGGCTGAACGCAGGTTTCGGTGGGTTGTCGTACAGCTTGTGACATCACAAAATAACGGAAGTATAAAACTTGTCGTTAATATACATTAAAAATACATTTACTTACAGTAAATATGCCCCTGGGTGCATTTTTTTGGTACTAGGACTGTTTTTTAAGAAGTACATACCCAAAGTTGAGTAAAAAAAAAACCTTTAAAAAGTGAATTTTGCATAATAGGTCCCCTTTTAAAATGATAAAAGCATTAGAAGCAGCTCAGTCGGGTTAAATGGCATGGGAAGTTTGAACTTCATAAATCTAAAATTACAATTATATTTAAGAAGAAAATTATGCTACAGAACCCAACGTTCAGCCTAGCTTTTGATACAACTTATCGCTAAATAGCTCCAAACAATACGTGCACAATAAATTTAAAAATGATCAATATTTTAATTTCAGTGTGTGCATCATCAGTATCAAAAACTGCATGCAAAAAATTCTAGTTTGGTTATCAAATGGACACTCTTCACTCCTCTAAATACCCATAGCCCAACACAGAGTGCTGTAAACCTTGTAATGACAGGAAGTGTGGGTTTATCACAACTCATCATCACAATATTTAGCAATCTCAGTTGCATGATTACCTGATATCATTCCGCCCTGGTCTCTAGAGTTGTAATATTTTTGACATTTATTCCTTGTTTATGTTGAATTGTTTTTGCTTTTACAGAGACGTCATCAGATGGCTGTTTTCTGCCATAAAGAAGTCAACAGAGTTTGGAAAATGTAAAGAAAGGGGTGAACAACTAAGGTTAGATGTCGTCTTCCTTTATTTACTCTCTTTAGAGGTCACCACAGGGACCCCTTATCTTTATCTCTGTCCCTCCTGTCCTCTGCATGTCCACTACATCCATCAACCTTCTCTCAGATGGTCTTCTTTCCATTCTTCTTGGCATCCATWTATCCCTTTTCACACATGTCCAAACCATCTCAGCCTRGTCTCTAACTTTGTCGCCAAACTTTAGTATTCATTTCCAATCCTCTCCATTTTGGTCTCTTCCAAAGAAAATCCCAAATATCTTCAGCTCTGCCATCTCCTGCTTTTAAACTTTTTTCACAAAAGCTGTAAGGACAAGCYGAGGAAATAAAAGATTAATATGTTTGTTTTCCTTCCACTGCCCTCTGTGACCTAAGTATTTTTTTTGTCCCCCTCAGGATGGTGTCCCTCTTCCAAAGGATGCTGGCCCTGGCTCTGGAGGTGGACCGATGTCCTGCTCTGAACTCTGCCAAGCTTTCCCAGGAGCTCTTCCATATGGTCCTCAGCCACATGCCTCCTCGAGCGCACAGGTGAGGAAATCTCACATTAACTTACAGGAACGCTAAAATGTAAAAAGGAAAAACAGAGTAACAGAGTGGAAACACACACACACACACACACACACACACACACACACACACACACACAC